CAGGAACTTCAGCAAACGTGGACAGTAATAATACTCCATCTTCCAGAGCAGTAAGTTAACGCCAAACCATCTTCCTTGGAGTCAGTCTCTCCGCTTTTCCCCGCCTCCAGCACAAGTCAAAAGCAGACGGGAGCAATTAAAAGCAGTGCCATGAATAATGCAGGGTGCCAGCTCCGGCCCCACGTCACAGCGCCGGGCTCTGCGCCTTTAATAGATGCTGAGGCCACTTATAAGCAGGAGTTGAGCCCCAGCACCATGTGACTTAACCACTTGTTATTTAGCATCTAACTGCTCCGACTTCTCCTGGCTCGGTAATCCGCAACGTGCTACTCTAGAATTAATAATAGGACTCTGGGTTTCGCACTGAAAAGCCCTTCAGCTGGGAGGAAAGAGAAGCTTCTAAACCCACTCGGTTTCACAGGCTGGGTTATGAAATGCTCTTAATGCCTCGCAGTTGTCACGGTTGCTAGCTGACCTTATTTTCCGGTAACGGGCAGAAAAATAAATAAAATACACGCGAAAGAAAAGCACCCGCTTTTATTATCAAGATGTATTTCTTCACGTTCACAAAAGAGACACAAGTGTCTTTTTATACACCCCTGGAATGCTCCCAGCAAGCAAATACTACCAAAAAAGGAAGAAAGCCTGGGCAAGCCGAGTTATTAACCAACACTGGGTCATCCTCCTCGGGGCTGCTTTTAGCAACAGGAAGCAGAGGTAAATGCCCAAATGATGGGAGGTGTTTTGCGAAGAGCAAGAAGGAATCGTAACACTTTTACCTGTTCCTGCTTTTTCGACCTATGTCCTTTTTTTGGCAGGAAGGAGAAGTGACAGGCGCTAGGCGCAGGGGGACCCCGACTGCCTACCCCCTGGGCACCCTCGCAGGGGCGACACAAACAGCTTCCAGGACGTCACGGCTTCTCTGCTTGATGTTTCAGTTCTGACTGTTTAAGGAAGAAAAAACCCACACTTCTCTAATGGCCACCTATGAGATCTTGTAGAGCTGACAAATTCTTTTGACTGGCATTCAGGCTGATGCAGTTTTTCAGCTAGCGGAGCAATTCACACACAATGGGTTGGTTTAGTCCATCTGCTGCCACCCGGGAAGGAGAGAAGATGCAACATTAGAGGCTTCACACCACGGGAAGATGAGAAGGCTTGCTTTCCAGCGGGCAGAGAGAGATCTGTCGTGGGCATAACTGGAAACAACTGGTGAACTGTGCCAAGCCAAACTAAAAATTCATCTGCAACTGTTTATAAAATATTTATCTTCTTTCCCTTGCAGCTCATTTCCAAAATATTTTTTAAGAGTCAGCTCATGATTTTCTTAAACAAATCCTTCTCCACCCACACTGTCTCACAGAAGTGCATCTTTATAAGGATACCACTGTGGATACCAGATTCTCCTTAAAGGATAAAACACACAAAGTTTAATATAAAATAAATAAATAAAAGAGATAACTGCAGGCTTCAAAATAATTCATGCCCGCACCAGTTCTAGAACTAGAGTGCTCCATTTTCACTACATAAAGTAGGAATTTGGGTTCAAGCCCATGGCTGCATTACAGCCCGACCGAGCAAGCGCAGTTCTGTCTATTCAGGGGATGAGCCTCATCACAAATTCCTGGTTTTAATTCACATGACTCCTATCAGCCTTGACAACTTCATCAGGAACTGAGGTTTGCGACGGAACGTCAGCGAATTAAAGGCCCGTGTCAGCCGTGATGGAATCACCACGATTTATAAAAGACAGTACTTGAAAACATCTTCTGGAATGAAGTGGTTTACCAGCGCCGGCAGCAGCTCCCACGCTTTCCGAGGGAGCACAGAGCGCTCAGCAACCCCAGCCCCGCAGCAGGCTACCAAACCAGAGAGCTGCTTCATTTAGCCTCTCACTTGGAGGCTCGCAGTCCCTCGCACTGGGTTCAAGGTCTAAATGAAAAGGTCCCACAACAGCCGAAGGCATGAACCCGCATAGACAAGCTCTCCGTCTGCTCAAGAGTCCGAGAGATTTGCAGCCAACTCTGTGAGCTAAAATCCTGGTTGTCCAGAGCGAAATTTTTTTTATATACCTGTGCTGTGATGCCAGGCAGGGCTAAAGCACAACATACAGGTCATTTGACTTCACGAAGGAGTAAATATTTTCAAGTGAGCACGGAAATGCTTTGTGTTCTCCATGCCTTCTGATCATCTCAACAGAAGGCAGGCAAGAGAACGCTAAAACATCCAAGTACACAGCGGCAGGAATAACTCTGCAAATCGCAACATGTACGTGAGACCCCTAACGCTACTGACCTCAGAGAAAAATATGTTCTAAGAAATCGGTCAGCCTTCAAAGATGATCTCAGTCTGAAGGTTTTAAACCATGACACCTCCACCTTCTCCAAGACCATCACAGTAAAATGCAGACTTCATTACCTTCTCTTCTGGAACAGCCCAAATAAATAAGGAGGCACTTCTAAAGGATGACACTTCTGTTATTCATGGGCAGAGAAACCATCTTTTCAGGTTGCAAAACACACGATTTTTTTAAGTACACAGAGATATTGCAGGCCAATTCCTCCTCAAACTCCAGCACATAAACCACTGGTAGCATGGTATGTTCACAATCATTAATTCACCACAGCCCAATACATTCAGTGTCATCAGTTCACCACAACCTTCCAAGGAGGTGAAGTGTGGAAGCTACTGCTGCAAGTACAGAACAGCTCTCCCTTCCAGTCGGAATATCACCTCTCTGAACACTGTGGTGCTTTACCAGCCACGTAACACAGCACTGACGATTTCCTTTGTAAAACAAATACAAAGTGCCCTCCAGAGGAAAACACAGACCATGATAGCCTAGCAACAATGCTGGAATCTTTATAAAAGCCTTTCTCTGTTTTTAAGTAACACAAACTCAAGAGAGCTAAAAAAAGCAATCTAAATGAGTAGTAAATCTCAAGAGCATCATCCTTTACAATTCCAAGCACCAATCCCATATTGTCAATTGTATATGGGAATGGTTTGGTTTCCAAGAAGTTCTACACAACCTTTTGAAGAGTAAACACATTGGAAGTAGATTCTCTGGAATATAATCGCCCCCCCAAAAAAATCACGTACCCAGAAGTTAAATTATACTACTTGGCCTCACTTCCAATTAGAAATGTGTTCACCCATATGAATTTTCTTCTCGTATCCCTCAAACTGAAACACAACTACCATCATCTTCCCACCAGAGGGAACTGTTGAAACATGCAGAGGAGAATGGCGACTGCACAGCAAAACTCTTGCATTTTCTCCAAACGAAAACACAGTATTAACCTTGGTGCCAGAAGATCAGGTTCAGTGCCACACCATCTTCTGCAACATCTATGTGAGGCTTTGGAAAAAACACAAGAGTACGGAGAATTTCATCCCCAACGCCTGTAAAAATTGCTTCTCTGCACCTGCTCACTCACAGTTCACATGCCTGACGGCCAGGCTGCCCTTTTCACTACCACGGCACTGCAGAGCAGCAAACACACCACGATTAGGCTTTTCAAAGCAACACAAAGGAGAAAAGCACCCGGATCCCGTTGAACCCCGCTGGATGCTGGACGTGAGAGCCTCCTCTCTTAGTGGGGCTGGCAGCCTTCCTTGCCTGTCTCAGGCTACACTTGATTAAGTCAAAGGTTTATTCCAAGTAACCTTACACTTAATGGCCAAGCTGGAGAATAACTGTCATATTCACCCAAGTGCACCACCACCTGAACAGCTCAATTTTGCCAGCACTGTGTCTGACAGCACCTCTCACACAGGTTCAGCCTAGGCGCCAACATCTTTACAGACTTGCACGGGAAGCTGACGGCATGAAACAACTGCTAGGGATTGAAAGATAGCTGCCAATTCTGTAAATATCCCAGATCGCTCCCTCCCAAGATCAACATTTCACCTGAAGCCCATGCTAAGAATGGGAAAGCCGAGAGGATATCAGCCCTTGAAAATCTTCCACGAAGTTTTAAGACTAGAATTGGAACAGTATGAGCCTGTTTCCAAAACTCCTATTAGGAAATTTGCTTACAAAACCATTACAGGTTTGGGTGTTTTCTTTTTCTTCACTAGAAGAGCCAGCTCCTTTCCTTTTTCATCTTTTTGCCTATTCTCTGTTAAAGGGCTGTAAATAGCAGGCTGAGTCATTAGAAAAGCAGGGTCCCTGCGGAGGGCAGTACACTCAGTCTCCACACGAGTGTGCTAGCAGACCGAGAGGACAGAGGAGATTTCCCTCACCCCTTTTCCACACAAGTGGAAGAGGTCTGAAAAGATCCGAGGCGTCTAGATTTTAAAGACGGCGAATACCTATGTGCAGAGTTATAAAATTTCGATATTTCATTTAGTATATAAATTTTGGAAGACCAAGATCTTTGCTTTGTATTTCAGAACAACATCTGGACACAGGATGCTATTCCCCAACATAAAGTCCATCTGTGGGCTGAAGTCAGGACATCCTTAAGTGGGAATGTACCCCAAAAGTATGCCTATCAGAGACAAATCAGACTTCCAAAAATGTCAGCTGTGACTCTTCATATAAACAGTTCTCTGTATTGCCTACAGAAAGAAAACTAAGCCCGTCGCTTTTCAGGCTACGACACGGTTCTATTTGCGCTATTTTCTAGAGAAGATTTTCTGAAATCTAACCGATTTTCACTATCTAAGCAGAGAAACAACCGACAAACACCATCACCTAGACCCACCTTAACAGTGCGGGATGAAGACTCCTCCCTTAGAAAGAGAACTCAACAAGCCGCATGGTCAACACTTTGTGTTGGCAGATTTGGCCCAGACCAGTGTGGTGGAACCCAGGGAGAAGCGTTCTCTGCCAGTTAAACACCACAGAGAGAGCTTCCCTCTGCTGGGAGGACACACGCCTTGCCGCAGCCATTTGCAAACAAGGAAAACAGCGCCAAAGGGAGTAAGCCAGGATGCATCTCCCTTATTCCCCTGCGAGTCCCTGCCCAAGAACTTCCACCAGAAGAACATACCGTCCCGTTATCCGCCCTTCTGTCCTTGTAAAAACTGTGCCGGCTGCGCGGAGCAGAAACCGAGGAGAAGTCTGTTCCGTCTGGTTTGTCTGAACTCTGCTTGGTCCAATCTTTCCTAGACGCCTGTTAAAACAAAGGTAGGTATGTTATTACATATGCATGCATACACGTACGTAAGTGTGTAAAATGCCCTTAAAACCCAACAAAAAACAGCAAGACAGAGGAAGTTCAAAGCTGAAAACGGAAAATAGAAAAATATAAAATTATTCTAGCCATCAAGGACCAGCTGGCTACACATTACTGCATTTGCATGTCACTGGGTTAAGGGAATCGCTTTTCACCAAAATCACTATCAGCAGTGAGTTTCACATACAAATGCAAGCCATTCACCAAAAAAAAATTGCTTCCTTCGGGGAAAAAAAAAACAACAAAAAAAAACCCCAAAAGACCTCCAAAAAGAACAGTCGATAACTTACAAAATAAACCAAAACTGCTACTTTTCAAATAATTACAAAAGTGCAGAGTTAACAGTTTAACATCCTAGGTTGACAGCATTACTAAAAGGCACATTTTAAAGCTTTCTCAAGCTCTCCATTGAAACAGCAAGAAATGTTTACATGCTTGCAGCAAAACTCTCGCCATCTAGTGCAACACCAGTTCCTCCAGAGAGCACAACCCAGAAGGAAGCGAACTCTGTGGAAAAGCCCGTAACTGCTCGGTGGCTGCAAAGTGAGAGCTAACCTCTCCCCGTCAGCGTTAGCTACAGGAACCACTCAGGTACTGTTTGGAAATACCTTTTTATCCTCACAGAAGAAGAATTCTGCCTGAGCTGACATCTTGTGTTTCCACCCACTTTCCAGAGGAAAGCTCTGCCTGCCCTGGTACAGATCCTTTCTTCCCCTTCCCTCTTGCACAAGCAGTACATTGTCCTTTCCTTGGCGGCTCTTTTCCGAGTAGGACCGTCTCAAATCCGGGGGTGCGCTTCCAAAACCAGACGCATAGTGCTTCCACTCGCTTTTACTCCTCACGTTGGAAGGGTCGTTCTCACACGTCGTCTTACTCGCGTTGTCCTTGTTCCTCGCTAGAGAGCTCCTCGCTACATTTTTGCTCCAATCGCCTTCTGGAGATGCCTCCAAGAACTGTTCTTTTGTGACCAACTTCTTCTGCAAGAGGCCATCCTCTGCCTTCACAGACAACTTGGAAGCAAAATTAACATCCCACTTTTGGTCCATACCAAGCACATTGACGGGCTGTACCTTATCGATGACAAATCTTGGACTTTGATTCCTGGAAGTTAAGCTCACCTCTTCATCCTCATCAACGATGAAAGTTTTCTTCCTAGTGAACTCCACGGGTGAATTTATAAACTTATCTGAAAAGAAGGTGCTGGGATTTCCCCAGTAAGGAGGGCTGAACTTTCTGTCTTTGGATTTTTGTTTATCAAACTCAGGGCTACACAATTCCACTTTCTCCTTACTCTTTTCATTCAGAATTAATTTCTCTGGCCTGTGGTACTCTTCTGCACAGTCACCTTGTTTGTTACTCACAGAACAGTGACCTGATCCCTTCCGCTCTTTCCAGCTATAGGAAGAAGTCATCTTGTCGGGCACATTTCTTCTGTTCTTTGATTTTTCCCTACTAAACGAACTGTGATCTTCAGAGAGCTTGTCTTGAACATCACTGGCCTTTCCCGATTCTTCTTTATATTCCGCCATAAGCGCGTCGATATCGAGAATCTGGGATCTGTAGCCATCCTCCGCCTTCCTCCCAGATAAATCATAACTTTCACTCCTCCTCTGAGGGACAAGCTCACTGTCTGCATGTAGGTGTGCAAACCGCAGTGGGGACCTGGTGTCATGATAAGAGGAGACTTTTCCTCCACTACCTTTGAGATCAGTTGGAGCTGTATTTCCCAGATCCTGCTTTAACAGGAAAGCATCAACATCTATAATTTTTTCTTTAGAATGATCCAGACCTCTTTCATGATACTGTTGGCTATCTTTCCTAAAGACATGTGCGCTACCAAATGCAACGCTTTTGGAAAAGGTAGCGCCTCTGTCTTCTTCTTTGACCCGATCCTTGTTAACAGGCACTTCCCGTGAGTCTTCCCTAAAATTGGTACTCATCCAGTTTTTATCTGGTTGCTGCAACAAAGGTTTCGACCTTCCAGGAAAAACAGGGTCCGGATTAGTTGTTGCTCTGTCACTCGAGCTAGAAATGGTATTAGTTTCACTCGCGCTGGGAGTACCAACAAAGCTTTTCTCTTTGTTGTTACCAGGAACCTGATAAGTCACTGCAAAATAAGTTGCCTTTGGCTCGAAGTAATCTTCAGGACTGCCAAGAACAGTTTGGGTTGCCTCACTCCCTTCCAGCCCTTCCTTGCTTTTTTTGCTTCTCTTTTTAACTAAGCCTTCATCCAACTGCAATGAATCCATCCGACTCAGCCTTTTGATATTTTCAGGAGTGAGCCAGACAACTTCTTCTGTCTTGACAGAATCCTGAGGCAAGGTCCTCCTCCTCCACCTTTCAGAAATCTTCAAGTCAGAAATGTTGCTTCTGCTTCTCCTGATTTTTTCTTCTGGATCTAACACTCTGATTTTTTCACTGCTTTCAAGAGCTGTACTATGTAAGCTTAAGCCTTGCTCTTTGCAGTTTAAGTCTAGGCTTTTCCTTAAACCAAAGGCCCTAGATTCTTCTTTATTAACGTTAAGTACTTTTGTGTTCGGATGACGACTACCAGAAGATTTACAGAATTGCCCACTTGAAAGCACTGAGGGAGATTGGGCCCCGTGTTTAGTTACACTTGTTGAAATAATTTCATGATCAAAGTTGGTTCTGAATTCATAGCTGTCTGTCCCACCTGTTCTAAAACTGCTTTTCTCAAAAGAGCATTTCACCACAGCAGACCTCTCTGATTTATCCACAGAACAGACCTCACTCTTCTCATTTTTTATTTCAGAATGTAGTTTGTTCACTTTTTCATTTATTCCCAAATATTGACTTTTGGTTGTAGAATAAGGTATTTTCTCAGCTATTGCTACAGTAGCAGTTGCAGTTTTATCAGAGTCTTTCTTCTGTTCAGATAAAGTGCATTCACTGGAGGCAAAATCATTAGGTTCTCTCAACACAGTCTTGCTTGTAAAAACTTTTGTGTCTCTAGTTTCTGAAACAATATTATCATCTTTCAAGAAGAGAGCTTTACTGTTTGCCCTAGGTGACTGACCAGTGTGTAAGACATCCTCATCACTTTTATTCTCTTTCACAGATGATTTTCTAGTTCGGAGTGTCATGGCCTTTTTTTCAGGAGCCATCACAATGGCTTCACTAAGAGCTCTTTCACCGCACGTCTGAAAGATTTCGTATCTCGGCTCTACTCTTTGGTAAAGCACAGAGTCTGCTGCATTTTTAGGAGTGGGTTTGTCACTTTTCTCCACCAAAGATTTTTCTAAGAGAATTCCCGGAGTAATTTTCTTGTCTTCGCTTGAACAAGCTGGTTTTCCACTTTTTTCTACATCTGCTATATGTTTTGATGAATCGGATTGCTTGTGATACTCCTTCTTTACACCGGAGCTTTCCTCCCCTCCTCCCATCCACGGCGGTCTGGTGTGTCCCGACGTCACCGTGTCGTGCTTTGCCTCCAGCTCATTATTCACTTTCAGTGCAGAATCGGTTCCAGGATGATCAACAGCGACGTTATGCCTCTGAACGTTATGGTCAAACAGGGTGGCTCGGACAGTTTTAATGTAGGTCTTTTCCACAAGTGTGGTTGGTTTTAATTTTTTTTCCAAGTTGCTTGTGAACGAGACAGAATCTTCACCTTGCTGAGAAAAATGCTGACCATCTCCAAGGAAGCTCCCTTTCCTCTCTATCTGTTCAGGTTTATTTATTTTTACAATCTGCCGGCCTTTCCAAGGGTTCCCAGTAGTGTGTGCTTCAGTGAAATCTGCGCCATGTGCAAGCTTCATCTCCTTACTCTGGAACAAGAAAATCCAACAGTTACTACAGTTTATTTAAAAGATGTTTAATAAAGTTTTAAAATAAACTTGCTTGAACCTACTGCCTGCACAAGCTTAATACATCCATGTTCTCTGAACACAAAATCCAGCGAGACCAAGGTGATCTTAGCAAATGCGTAGCTCCAGCTCCCGAATCTTGATTAGAACAGCATTATCATAGGTTGATTTTTACTTTTAATATAAAAAAGCAAGAATGTTTGACGGGTTGATGCAAGATATGCAGGAATCTGAGCTGCTGAGCTCAGATTTCACAAGACATTTTAATCTGCAGTGAATTCCTTACGCACATCATCCTCGAGAGGAGGCAACACACATAGAAACTTCTGAAGGTTCATAACCCCAGGTGCCACACAAACACCTCTGAACATTTACGTTACAAGCTCTACAGAAATTCAAGCTCAAAAAGCAAAGCCTAACCAGCACCACGGGGATGAAGGCACCTTCAGAGGAAGCCTAAATTCTGGAGAGACACCAAATATACTGTGTTTGGTCAAAATCTGTCCTTTCAGATAGAGCTGCTCACTAGCTAACTAGTTACACGGTCAGTAACTGCAAGGAACATGAAGATCTGAGTAAATATCACAGCTGGAGCTGCTCAGCTGGGAAGAATGTTCATGCTAAGCTGAAGCACAAAGAGAAAGCAAGAATTAATGTTTATTGCCAGTTCTTTACTGTTATCTACTTACAGGAAATACAACCAGTATCCCGAAAGCTGTTATTTTTAGTAACAATAGTTGAAAAAGCACAGCTTGTGAATAAACAGAATCAAAGAATACTCCCCAGTCCTACGAGAGTTCAACCTTTTTTCCAAGTTTTAAAATTTAAAACTTGGAATTGATTCTCTTTAAAAATTTTTTTTTATATAAAAGGAAAAACCTGAAGAATGTCAGAAAATTTACATTATATACATTTATAAATAGAGATTTTTAAATCTGATCTATAGTTTTGCAGGAATCCAAAGGAATTTTTTTTTTTTATATGTCAAATTCTGAAAACAGCACTTCCATTGATGGAAGACTTTCTTTTTAAATCAAACTGATCTTCTTTAAAGTGACATTAAATCACAAAAACTTGGTATCTAGCTGCTAGTTGCCTTCCTCTATACTCCTATTTTAAACCTAGGCAGGAAAAAAAGCACGGCCAGAACTCACAAAAAAACACCTTAAATCTACACTAAATCTGCAATGCCACCAAGTGTCAGCAGAGAAGTTGTTTTGCATCACCAACGTGTTGCTTAGAAACAGAGGCAGCCTAACAGCTTGTCCAGCAAAGCGTGACTGCCTGGGGAAGAGTTTAGTCAAAACTTTGAAATTCAGCGTTATTTAGGAGATTCAGATGGAACCTGCAGCACAGATTTACTAAGGAGCTGTGACTTAGATGCAGAAACGCACCGCACTAATGCCAACAGCCACAGCCAAGCCACTAAGAGTTTTTGTGCATTACAAGTCCCTTTAAAAGCGTATGTGAACAGTAGGTAAAATACCTCTCGTTCTGTACCCCTGCATGCCTTTAACAGCGGGGATATTAACTGTCACAAACGCCACAGCCGTGATATTCCCAGACTTTCTCAGCGTGTCCTAAAGATAGACTTACACAAGTCAACCCATTAGGATTATGTCACTCGTAATACTCCCAACACCCATTTCAAAGTCACTGGTTGATGGAGACCCCAGAGAGGCGGGGACGGGACAGTGCTCTCTGCCTTCCAAACTCCAACCCAGCTGGAGATCACATCAGCCAATGCCATTTTCTTACTTTTTGATTTTCCTGCATGTCCCCCATAGAGTCGTTTCTAGTTTCAGCCGGTTTCTCAGGCTTCACTTCACCACTTGATGTGGGACTTGAAAACCTAAAGGAAAAGACTCCAGTTAGTTCATAGGTACACTTCCTAAAGGAGACTGGCAGAAATTATCCAATAAATTACATTTCTTAAAGGAGAAACATCACTATTTTGGAGCGAGGCACTGTATTTGGTGGTTTAATCATACCTGGAGCAAAGGATTGTTGTTTCCTGAAAAATTATTAGTTATGCAGCTTACTATCTACGATTTAGAGATACATAAGTGAGGCTGAGCGAGATACCACCACTCTCACGCCTCAGTTACATTTCTTTATTTTGATCACAACGACCAAGGTTTCCTGGAAAATTCTGCTATTCCACTGTCCATAAAGCAGGTCCTGTTGCTAAAGATCTGCCGCGTTCCTGAGGTGAAGCCCACACCCTCTGTGCTACCAAAGCCACCGTCCCCTTCCTCCCCCCTCCCTTTGTCATCACCCCCAGGACACAACTGCCTCGAGCTCGCCCTCCCCACCGCAAAGCACACATATCACAAACAGAATTTTATGAATTTGAGCAATCACCTACCCACCTCTGCACAGAGAGAGTACATTTTATCTTGGACTAAATCTCTTTTTACCAGACAGGTTTTCTGTTGGTTTGGTACGTAAAAAATTTGCCAATCTCCTACTATGACGACACTGCTCATTGCCAGAGCTCAGGCAGAATAGATACCACAGATCTTCGGGCTTTAATATGACAGAGAAATAAGATTTCCATCTACTTGAAAATCTGATTACTGCTGTCAAAGACATGCTAACCATTCCCTTGTTTTCTCACAAATACACAGGCTTGCAGTCTAATACACTCACTTCAAGATTTCAAAATGCAGGAAATCTTACTAAGAGATACACCGTTACAGCAACATGTAAAGGCCACGAGATTGACAGCATTAATTTTTTCTTTGCTGTTGTTGTCAGGGTATATTTCACTAAATTTTTTTGGGGAGGAGGGCAGGAAAAGGTGGGAAAAGGACTCGAGAATAGTAGTGTAAGAATAATTACATTTAGTAGAATCAAAATGATCAGTTATTTTTCTTTACAGCAGGAGCAAGTTTTACTGAATGAGATGAAGTTAAGAGGATTAAACAGAATTTCTCTGTAACCTACATTTTTGTTAAGTCCGCTGAAAGTGGACGTGACTGAAGGGACCTGCGGAGATTTCCTGGCTTAACATCAGTATTTTCTGTTGTCAGCTCTTTGATTCTCTGTTGGATGTTCATGCACCTGTTTTCCTTCTCCGCAGCCGGCGGGAGCAGCTCTGCATCCACTGAGGTACCGGGATTTTCTGCAGTAAACAAACTGATGTGTTTTTTAACACTACCTCTTACGATATTATTCTCCTTTTCTGAGGAAGCTGCAGGGCTTTCACAGCCTCGGAGCACACATGTTTCCTTTTGATCTGGTCTCTTCTCCCCTGTATTAGCTCTCCTTTCACTAGTGGCTTCATGGCTTCTTTCGGAAATGTGCAAGTGAGTCATTATTTCTGGTTTTGTCTCAGTTTGTTCACTTTTAGATTTAAGCTTCGTTTCCCATATGTATTTTCCATTATTTAAGATGCCAATGTCCTGACTAGTGCACTTCAAATTTGTTTTAGAAGAACTGCCCTTATTAAATTCAGTTTCTTCCATTTTTGGCCCCATTTCACACTGATCGTGACAGCCCACATCGGCAAAAGAAATTACCGATTCATTCTCTTTGCTTTCGTGAGAAGAACAAGGCTTCTTGCAAGAAGAAGGATCTTTATGTTCAAACTTAGCTGTCAGGTCCATGGACAAAGGTCTTGGTTTTCTAGGCCAGGATTTCTCCTCAGGAGATTTCTCCTCAGAAGCTTCCACAGTGCGATGCTTTTGATCCCGCAGCGATTCCAGAAAAATAGCAGATACTGGTCTATGTTTTGGCTTTTGCTGCACTTCAGTAGAGAAATCAACTTTACTGCCGACATTATTTGCATCTTCACTGGTTTTCTCCACAGTATGAACTTCATAAGCATCTTTTTTTTCACCAGTTTTGAGGGAGTTCCAGGAGACTGGTCTAAGGCTGGAAGAAAACGATACCTGCCGATGAAGAGACCCTTCAGCACTCCTGGATGTCTCGGATGGCTGAGACAGTTTCTCCAGCTTCGCACTGCACTGAAGATCTTTCATTTGCATGGTGCTAAATCCTCTGCGGTCATCCACAGCCTTTTTTTCTTGGGCCAGGCTTACCTTCGACTGCTCCGTGCCTGCTGTCTCGAAGAGGATGACAGTATTCGCGCTGGGACCAGTGTAGAAAGTCATGTTTGTGACTACTTCGCTGCCAGCCTTATTTTCATGCTCAATTACTTTCTGATCTACTAACGGAGGAACATTTCCACTCACTACCTTAAGAGATGATGTTTCTTCAGTGGCCTTTCTAATAAGACTACTTGATCTGAAAGTTGGAACAGGTGGTTTTACGTTTGCAAAAGTATCTGAAGATTTATCTTTAGAAAAAGGCTTTGGGAAAAGTCTTGGCCTCGATCCTAGCGACGGCATTGTTGCAGATCTCAAAGTGCCCCCAAACTTCTTGTTCTCCTCGAGAGTTAGCGATGTCGAAGTCTCTTTTGTCTTGTTACTCGCATCTGAAAGCACACTCACATAGACACGCTGGGATTTATCCTCATTTCTGATTTCATTTAAGTCAGGTACTGTTGTCAAAGCCCCCAAAGTAGAATTTATTTCTACTCTGGTTGCCATAGTTGGAATTACACTTTCAGCAGAACTGAAAAAATCCAACGAGGAAGAACAATCTGCAAGAGAATAAAAGAAAATGCAAGTACTGATGTAGCGTCAGCATAAACACCAAATAACATCTTTCTAATTTAAATTCCTAAGGCAGCTAAGCTCAGATTAAGGTGTCTTCCGGACATGTTGTTTACAGAGTGCATCACACAATGAAAGACACGCTGTTCCTCCTCCTCTTTATAAATAAACAGCAAGAGACACCATCATTCATCAATTAGGTGTAACAACCCAGGAACATATCACAAAACCTGCAAGAGCATCTACACAGCACTAAGTCCCCATTTGCTGAGTAAGCTTCAAGTGTTGAGATACATATAAAGAAATTAATTTCTTCCTTGAAGGAGACATCTCAATATTGACATAAACGTTGAGACCTTTTTACAACACAAATATCATAGAATGAATGGCCTAGGCTGGAAGGGACCTTAGAGATCATCTAGTCCAGCCTCCCTGTCATGGGCAGGGACGCCACCTCTCGACTAGACCAGGCAACACATGGGAACTGAGCGGGAATCGAACCCGCGACCTCGGTGTTGTCATTGTTGTCAGCACCGCGATCAAACCACTGAGCTAAAGGCACTATGTACTTTCAAATGAATAAAGATAATCACGATTGGTGTGACTTGAAGTGTTGTTAACTATTAGCTAAGGTCTGCCATTGAACAACGGAAATAAATACGCATTCTCCAAACCTCCAAGAGCTTTGCTACCACTTACCAGCATCTGCATCTTCTGCTGCAACCAAGCCACACAACCCGAGTCGCTTCTCATAGTGAAAACAAGATCCTGGTGGCCACAGTCACATTAAGAACAGGGGAAAGCGATCACTTCAGCAATGCCGATTGGACCTCTCCTGCAAAAAAACAAAGAGCGTTCAGATTCGAGCATGGCACACACCCAGCCCCACACAGATAATGCCACACGAGACAAAAATCCGAAGCATTTTAAAGAGGAAAAAAGCTGGCTGCCAGTCTGAAGTATAAAGCCACCCGATTTCACTGCACAGAGCAAAAGAACATTTATTTTTCAGCCGGTTATTAAAGAATCAGTGGGAAATTACTGCTGAAGCCTGAAAGGTGTAACTGAAAGGCGAAGGGTAAATAACTTGGTTTGCACAACAGGCAGACCAAACGTGAACACGGCTAAAGCCACATTTCAGCGAGTGCTGTTTGTAAATCCAAGTGTTGTCAATCACTGGTTAAACACAGAGCTCGGTATTACCGTAATCTCGATTACTGTAATTTACTTTCTATTGTAAATCTCCTTTCTATGACAACAGTATGTGAAACGCTACCTGAGAAGCTGACCTTCAAATGGCTGATTTTCCACCAAAATATGCCTTTTACCATGACAAAGCAGTTTTTCCAATACCTCGCCAAGAAGGGCAGGAGATTAGCTTTGGCTTTAATTACATTCTTACTGCAGAGATGAGGGAAAACCAGCAGTAATTAGAATTTCAGCAACCAGAAGTAACCCGATTTTTTCCTAATAAAACATATATTTAAACTTTGTAGCAGATGCAGGTGGCTACGTAAGGTTACATGCAATATTATTATTCTTTTCCTTCAGAAGCTGCCATACTCTTAATTTTGAGGAAATTCATACTGTATTTCACAGCCTTTCCCTCGGCAGGCTCGGTTTTCTGTTGCCACCCTTGAGCAGCCTTTGAAGGGGCAGTCTACAGACTCCTCTTGCCTGATCTATTTTGGTGCGTACTTACCCTACAAACAAGCCTATTTGCACATTTGGTGGAATATGGAGTCTCCTGCATGTGAATATTTTAGGAAAAAAGAAGAAAAACAAAACAAAACAACAACAAACAAAAAAAACCACCAGACCACAAAACAGAACGTTGCCTTCCTGAGTCTGCAGGCTGGAAAAAATCATTATTTCACCTTCAGCTTCCCTTGCACAGGCTAACAGCACCCTGGCACCACAAATTGCAGGGATTTATTTTTGTCCCTTGTTCCTCCCGCAGGCAGGCTAATGAACTCTGCTCCTCACCTTGCCCCTTCCCTTTCAGCTTTACAATCCACTTGAAATTCTGTCTCAACTGCTTATGCGCCGCGTTAGTCCCCTCGAGTCCACGACCTCTCCTTTCCAAAATAGTCCCTAACCCAATCAGCTTATCAGAATCAATCTGTCCCTTCCACAACCTCACAGGCCCGAACGGAATCCTCCTCCCTCTCCCACTCCTCGCTCTACCGAACGCCATCGAAATCCGATTAAAACGCTCTCACATTCCAAGGAGGCAGAGGCTTTGCCAGGAGCAGTTCCGCTCTAAAACAGTAACGCTTGCTGAAATAAGGGCGGTGCTGCCAGGGAGGGCTGCAAAGCAAAAAAACGAAGCTGTAAAACCAGCCTGTGGCCGGCAGCACTTGAGTGTGTTTGCCCCTACCCTAACGCAGTTCTTTGCGGAAGAAGAAGGGGAACAGAGCTTCTTAAACAGAATAAAACTTGATCCTCAGCGGAACGCCAAGCAGTGAGTATACACCGCTAACAGCGTGCAACCCCTTTCCCCAGCCAGCATTCCTCAAGCACCACTTCCCCAGTCTGATGATATCCCTTCCACAGTTTCATTACACTACGCTGCAGCTTTATGGGATCCCAGCTTTTTTCCCCCTTATATGATCTAGCAAAGTCAATTTTCAGGTTTCAAATTCTGATAAGTGGCCCAAAACCAGACAAGTATTCAAAAAAAAAAGGAGAAAAAGTATTTGGGAGGGAGAACAAAACCCAACAAAGTTGCCCAATTTTGAGAACTACAAAGCTCCTGGAACTTCAGAAATCCGTACGTTTGACAAAGAGGGATCACGTACACCATGCTCTAGATATCGTGCCTCAGTTTTCAAATACAAGCATCTGCGCACACAAATGAATTGATAAACGGCACTGAACTATATTTTGCAATTCTTTCTGCTTTCAGTGAACAGGATGGGCCACAAAGGCCTTGCTTTTCCCTGGCTGCTCCTCTTCCTTGGCTTCAAAAGAGCAGCAGCAGTGACTTCTCTGAGTGCAGGGGGGTACAGACCCCCACGCTAACGCTGCCCCGGGCTCAAACCGAGCCTCCACATCTTCACATCCCGAGGTGGCGCTTGGATTTTTAATTAAACAATCTATCCTTCCAAAGGTTATTACCATTGCTCCTTAGCAATCCAAACGGATTATTCACTGCGCAGTGTTATTTTCTGCAAAATTCATATGGGAAGGGCTCTGCCTCAAACGCACCCTTTATATTTAGCATTTGCCGGCCCTGCCTTGCCCACCAGCGACACGCAGAATTATTATTTACATCAGTGGTAATTCCTTTAAGCCTATTAGGACAACAGGAGCAGCAGCCTGCAGATAATTTTTCCACCATGAATCACGTGATTATTGCCAACTTCCTTGCTCAGAAATAAGAATGTTTTAAATGGTACAAAGCAAAATAATCTATAATCTGTCCCTGAACCTCCTAGCAGATAAACAAGCCCATCTGTCTTTTGTATGGATGTGAAGCATAAAAATTCCACAGAGAAAATCTCTCTGCTGTTAAAAAAAACAACAACAAACCACAAACAAAAACAACCCCAAAAAACCCAGTTGATAAAACTGGAAACAAGCAGAAAGCATCCCGCGACACTTGGGGAGTCGCTGATAGGATCTGCTCTGTTAATTCGCATTTAATCCAATACTGGGCATGTACGAAGAAAAGAATAACGTAACCATGTGGGTGAATACTGTGAAGAACACAAGACTTTACAGCACAAACAAAACACAGAGAAAAAAACAAAACAAACCCCTTTTCTGAAACTTTTACGACTAAGTAGATGATGCAACTAATTCAGTAGAAAAAGGCTTTTTCTATTCTTGGGTTTATGCCTGATTCACGTTCTTAGTACCGTCATTCACTGAAATGGGATCTATCAATTGTGTTTAAGAGGACATACAGGGTGTCTCAAAGAGAAAGATTAACAAAAATGCTGTCATGCTGGCGCTAATTTTTTAAAATATCCCTGGACAAATTTATTCACAAAGTAAGAACATAAAATAAAATGCATTTAAATTATCTTTGCCCAGAGTCACAGTGAAGTTCAGTAGAACAAGGCATTTGTTCTGCTTCTCTAAAATCAAAACTACCAGGTTGAGAACTAAAAATACATATTCCAAATCTCATCAGACAGATTATCTTAGGACCCACAAAGCCCCAGAGATCTTTAATACTGGTATGCCAAAGCACTGCAAAATTTGAAATACTCTGTCTCCATTCCCCATGCATAAGCCTATTTGAAACCTCTTTTTTTTAAAAAAAAAAACAAAAAAAAAACACGTTCCTGTGGATACGCTAGCCCAGTCCCGTCACAAGGATGAAATGCTCTGCTCTGACATTTTCTCCTACTGCCGAAAGATTAGTGTTTCGTTAAATAAAGTGCCCATCCTATAAATAGCAGCATTTACAAGCACTTGTAAATCTCTAATTGCAACTGCCAGTACAATTGCATAACTATCATCATTTGTTAGAGCTTCACCGAGACCTACACATGCACTAAAGAACAGAAATATTTCCAACAACCTTTTTCATTACGTGCCGCTACCTTAGTACCAGAGTCAAAACTCAACATTGTATATTTTTATATCCACGTTGCAAAGATAAGGCAGTTAAAGAGGCGCCACAAGCAAGTGGCTTCAGTAATTTGTGCTGGCCCCACAGAGGCAATAACATTTAGAGCAAACCAGAAACTGGATGTTAAACACGCTGGCGTGTCCACATAACTGGGACAACATAAATCTAAGACTACATTCTTGATGTCGTAGAGGAAGCAATTGAGACAAGCGTTCAGAAAAAAGCACTCATTTATGTCAAAGTATGCCTCAACAGCCGAACGCAACTGTCCGTGACTCTTCCCAGCAAAGAGATCCCTCAACTGTGACCATACCTTCTCCTGCGTGGCCTTCACGTTTATTACCAATTA